GAAGTGAGAGCGATGGGGTTTGTTCACAGCCCGGGGGGGATGTCCCGTGTTCCCGGAGCAGGGGCCAGGCAGCCGGGTTGCTGTGATGAGGTTTATCAGATGCTCAGGTAACACGTTAAGAAAAGCCAGGAAAAAACAAAAACAAAACAATCAACTTAGCAAGCTTATCTCCTAACCCTGTCATTTTTCAACCAGGGCAGAGCTCACGACACACCTGGATCAGCTCACCTGGCTGGCGTGGGCTGCCAGGTACCCACCCGCGGCACGTGCGCCCTGCTTGCTCCGCTCTGCCCAAGCAGCCGGTTCGCCAGGCTCCGCCAGCCTCTGGGCCAGGAGCAGCGAGCCCAGCCTGCCTGCCTGTGCCTCAGAAGAGACCCCCAGCCACCCCCAAGCTCTGCTGCAGCCCAACATCACATCTTCGGTCTGGTTATCGTGTGAAGGGAGCTTGTAAAGATGCTGGAACACTCGCACTTCAGCCATGCACAGTTACTAAAGAAGCTTTATTCCTGCTCCCAGCTGGCCCTGAAATTAGAGACACAGCAGGGAGAAGTGCACCGAGTGCACTGGAGCACAGGACAAGCCCAGATCAGGTGTGAGTCATCACTGGAGTGCAATTAACACTTGCAGCTCTTCCCAAACAGACATGAGCCCGGCTCTCACTCTTGGCAATGAGGTTTCCTTCCTGTTGCGGCAGTGGGAAATGGAGGCAGGGCCGGCCAGTGTCACCCTTGGCAGCACTGGGACTTGCTGGCTGCAGCCTGGCTGTGACCCTGCTGCTCTCCAGCGAGACCAAGGCAGGCTGAGCAGTCGCTCTGGGTTTGGGTAGTGCAGGCAAGCACTGGCTGCAGTGACCATCTCCAAACACAGGAGCGATGTGAACTGTTGAGATGACTTGGTTGCTCCAGGCAGACTCCAGCTACAACCTAGAAACCTAGAAACTCTGCTGAGCTAAACTGTCAGCTGGCATAAATCGGTGTCTATCTGAAGCAGGAATCCTCTGCTCTAAGTTCAGTGAAGAGGTCTGGCCTGAGGATGGTTTGCTGATCTTCCAAGCCCAGAGCAACCCTCTTCCTCTGGCCAAGAGCACTGAACTGCATGCATCATGTCCCACTCCCCAGTCAGAGGGTCCCCCTGCTCCATCACCCTCCAAAATGGCTGGGAACAGAAAAAAAAAAGAGTGACAAAACTGGTGAGGCTTTCCCACCATGGTCCCAGCCTTGGCTTTGTGTGGCTGCTGTCCTGGCACAGGATGGTCACAGAGCCCAGTGCCCTGCTGGGACCCCCATGTGCTGCAAACACGGGAAGGGTGAACAGCAAAAGCGTGACTGCAATGAGCAGGAGGGCAGTTTCAGGGTGCTGCAGTATGTGGTTTTACAAGCATCACTGTGCCCCCAGGTGTGCCAGAGACACCTTGGACCCAAATAAAACCCAGGCTGCTACAAATACCATTCTGAATATGCTCAAAGCAATTTTGGGTGTAGGGCAAGAGCAGCTTGAATTAAGGAGCTTAAGAAAAGCAGAGATGTCTCCCTGTGGCTTCTTACCACTCCCAACAGGAGTGACATGTTTCATTTCATGTGCTTATCTATTATTTTAATTGCATATTAACAAGAGATCTAATCACAGAATCACAGAATCTTAGGGGTTGGAAGGGACCTCAAAAGATCATCCAGTCCAACTCCCCTGCCAGAGCAGGATCACCCAGAGCACATCACACATGAACGTGTCCAGGCGGGTTTTGAATGTCTCCAGTGAAGGAGATTCCACAACCTCTCTGGGCAGCCTGTTCCAGTGCTCTGTGACTCTTGCAGTAAAGAAGTTTTTTCTGATGATTACGTGGAACTTCCCATGTTCCAGTTTGCACCCATTGCCCCTTGTCCTATCACTGGTCATCACTGAACAAAGCCTGGCTCCATCCTCCTGACACTCACCCTTAACGAATAACAGTAATCAGTAAACACTGATGAGGTCACCCCTCAGTCTCCTCTTCTCCAAGCTAAAGAGACCCAGCTCCCTCAGCCTTTCCTCATAAGGGAGAAGTCCACTCCCTTCATCATTTTTGTGGGTCTGTGCTGGACTTTTTCAAGCAGTTCCCTGTCCTTCTTGAACTTCAGGGCCCAGAACTGGACACAATATTCCAGATGTGGCCTCACCAAGGCAGAACAGAGGGGGAGGAGAACCTCCCTTGACCGACTAACCACATCCTTTCTAATGCACCCCAGGATGCCACTGGCCTTCTTGGCCACAAGGGCACATTGCTGGCTCATCCTCCTGTCCACCAGGACCCCCAGGTCCCTTTCAGCTACACTGCTCTCCAGCAGGTCAGTCCCCAACCTGTACTGGTACATGGGGTTGTTCTTCCTAGATGCAAGACTCTACACTTGCCCTTGTTGAATTTCATTGCATTTCTCCCTGCCCAACTCTCCAGCCTGTCCAGGTCTCACTGAATGGCAGCACAGCCTTCTGGTGTGTCAGCCACTCCTCCCAGTTTAGTGTCATCAGCAAACTTGCTGAGAGCACACTTTGTTCCCTCATCCAGGTTGTTGATGAAAGTTTTGAACAGAACCAGTCCCAGTACCGACCCCTGAGGGACTCCACTGGTCACAGACCTCCAACTAGATTTTGTCCCTAATAATTTTAATTGTTCCCAATAATGCCCATGGAACAGATACACAAGCCTGAACATGTTTTCCTACTTTCTGCTGACCTATTAATTATTTCAGCTGCTCTTGTGCAGCTTTCTAGCTGTAGTTATATGCAGTTAAAGGCTTTATCCTCTTGTCTGTTGCAGCAGGCAAGACGCAAAACTGCCGGGGATACAGTCTGGCCCAGTATGTTTTGGGTTTAGCTGTTGTCTCTGTAGGAGTGGAGTGGTTAATACCAGAAAACCCTTTGGCTGCAGACCCTGTGTCTCCTCTCAGACATGCAGCTGATGCAGGGATACTGGTGTCTTTGGTGATCTGACACATATCCTTGGCTGGAGGAATAAGCTTGGACCATCCACTGGGCCATGGAGTTCTCCAAGCAGGCACATCATATGGCTGGTTGAAAACATGCTTGTTCCACCAATGGATGTTCATCAGCAAGCAGAGAATCTGAACAGTTGTTTGAGGATGGGGACGTTAGCACAGGACTTCCTCCTACAAAAATAAGTTGCAGCAAACTCAAGTCACTTTTGTTCGGGGTGGGAGAGACTTTGTGGCATCATGCAAATCTGACAGGCCAAGAAGACAAAACAGCACCCATGGGTGTAGGAAGAGTCACCCAGTATCATCCTCCTGGTGCCCCCAGGGAGACAAGAATCACCATGAGTGCAGCACTGTCACCTCCCTTTGTCACTTGCCTGAGGATTGTTCACAGCTCCAGAAGTCTCTTGGGGAAAGCTGCATGAGATGCCCAAGGGTTTCAGGGCTCATGCCAGCCCTTGCAGAAGCACACGACTCTCCCTCCCTCTCCTGGCCCCTCTGCTGATCCTCACTGTGGTACCTGGTCAGTCACAGAGCATGCACCTTTCAGGGCAGGCCTGAAACCGATGCACCAGCCCTGCCCAGAGAACCAGACACCCAGAGATCAGCCAAAAGCAGAAACCACAGCTGTTTTTTAAAAATAATTGCATTTTATTTCTCTACCCTCCTCTGTCGTTTGCAGTGTTGCTATTCAGAGCCTGAGTTAATGCCTTGGCAGCTTTGAGACTCCTGTGTCTCCTTCCCCCTGTCCAAGGGGGCCCAGAATTTACTGTCCCCCAAAGCTGCAGAAACTTCGTCCTACCAGGGGGATAGCAAGATGCAGGAGCAAGGATGATGGCTGGCTCTGGTGCTCAGAGGAATGGGTATATTGCAAAAATTAGAGCTTAAAAACAATTGGCTATTTCTCTCCAGGATTGTGGAAATTGAAAAGTGAATAAAACCCAAGCTCAAGAGCAAGGAAGGCATGGTCCAGGCATTGGTCCTTGGACTTTGGGGTGCTCTCTATGCAGAGGGGACAGGTTTCTTCCCATCTGCCAAGGTGTGATCCAGCACTTGGTCAGAGGCCACTGTCATGATTTAAGGCAGCAATGTGATTTGGTTTCCTGGTACAATGGCAGGGCACCACCTGCTTTTGGAGTTAGGACTGTGCTCTGAGGCAGAGCCTCATGGGACCAATCCCAGTGATTGCACAAGCCTCCACCAGGCTGGGCAAATCCTCCTGCACAGGGCAGGAGCAAGGCACAGGAAGCAGAGCCATTGCCCAGGGCAAGAGGGATGTGGGGATGCAGGGATGTGGCCAGCAGCAGAATGGGGGAGGCTTAGGACAAGCCAAAGTGCTGCAAGTTGGGAACACAGGACCGACCAGTCCCTGTCTCTCCAGAGGATGGAGGCAGCAGAGACAGTACTGAGGTCAGGTCTAGCTGGACTGTGCCTCTGAGCCCTGCTCAGGGGATGTGTGGCTGGTGGTGGCACAGGGCTGGAGGGGTGACATGGCTCCCGAGGTAGTTTTTGTTCACAGTCCCTTGTTAAAATAGACACATGGCACTTTGTCACCATGCTTGGCCACGATGCTGTCACGCAGCTCCGGCTCCAGGTCAGCCAGCGCAAGTGAGCTGTGAGGAGAGGAGAGAAACACAGACCTGAGATGCTCCTCCCTGACCACGGGTCAGGCCACTCTTCCTTCCCATTGCCATTTGAGGCAGTCCCTGGGATCTTGCAGGCTCATGTCAAGACCCACCATCCACCCCTGGCATCCACCACTCCCAGTGCTGGGGTGCAGAAAGATGCCCATGGGGCTGGAGGCCCCATTGCTCCCAGCACAGAGCTTGCAGAGCAGAGGAGGCACACACTCCCCTGCTGCCTGGGGCACCAGCATGTGCAGGCAGGTGCTGCCTCTGGTTGAAGGGTGGGTGCCCACTGTGCCTGAGCTAGGGGAGAAGCTGCCTCCCACTGAGCTAGGGGAGAAGAAAGGGTGCCCAGGTCTCAGGCAGGAGGGGGAAGCAGTGGGACAGGTACCATCTCTGCGGGAACAGGGCGCAGGCTGCCGGCACCATGAACAGGAGGCTGTGGGACAGAGAGGAGCTAGGTGTTAGTGCTGGGGATCGTAGGCCATTTGTGTCCCAGTTGCAGGGATCTCAGTCCAAGAGGTGCTGCTCACACCCCATGACTCCCAGTAACTGGGACATTCAGCTCATGCTGAATGGCAAGCAGATGCTCAATCACCTGCTGGGAAAGGGGTCTTTTTTCTGTGGTGATTTCAAGCACCCCTTGGAGCCACACTCCAGGCACCCATGGGAGGTCAAGCAGCATGATACTTACAAGCCCCCACACAGCAGCACCTGCAGAGGAGCGTGGAGAACCCTCATCCGCTGCAAGGGAAGAGCCACGAGTGAGACCCCAGACCCCGCTCATGGCGTGGCAAGACTTCTCCCCTCAAGAAGGCTAAATGCCCAATACCACTAGGGTGCCACCAACCCCTGTCACCCTCCAGCCTTCCCATGTCACCCAACAGACCTTTAGTGTGCCAGTGACTTGAATAGGGGGCAAAGCAAGGCAGGCTCTGCAACCCCCTATTTCATCCCCAGCATCTCAGCAGCTGGGGGACAGGGCTGGGGCACTGCATGGAAAACCATATCAGGAGAAAAATGGGCTTACCTGCATGAAGGTGAACTTCTCCAGTCGCTCCATGATGATAGGCAAAATAACTAGTTGCAGAGAGAAGAGGTCAGGGCGCCCTCCCAAGTTAGCCAACAGGGCTGCCCCAGCAGGATGCTCCGTGAGAGTGGCTGGTTGTACTGGGGGCTGCTGGGTGTTTGCTTACAGAAGGGATCTGGCACAGGACCCCTATCCCTTCATTGTCTGGGCAGCATGCTCTGTAATCCTCATGCTCCTGTCCCTCCTGCCAGGCTTGTGGCATGGCAAAGGTCTCACAAAGGCAAGGGAATGCAGAGCAAAGAGCCAGGGCCAGAGAGTGCAAAAGGTGTTCTCATGAGGCACCACAGGAGCACCTCACATCCCCCAGCAGCTGTGGGTTGATGGGGAGAGCTAGGTGCTTAGGAGGTCCTGATGGGAATGGCTGGATGGGGGAACCAGCTTCAACAGTGACATGACACCAAATGCCACCCAGGACGTGGGGCCACCCTCCCTCTTCTTCCCAGGGGGAAACTGAGGCAGAGGAAGGTGAGGTGGCATGTCCCAGGGACCCCCCCCTCCTACCCCATACTCACTCATGCCTGGTGCTGCCATGGTGATCCTGGAGACCACAACCTGCGTGATGCCCTTCACTGCTGCCCTCTGCAACCAAGAGCAGTGGGTGAGCCCCCATCACACTGTGCCCTGACCCAGACCCTCATCCTGAGACTCACCCTGGAGCAGCCAAGCTCGTTGTTGTCCTGGTCTGTCACTGTCACCCCATTGATGATCTCCCTGCAAGGGAGACATGGCACTGAACAGTGGCTGGGGATGGGGAGTTGTGAGGAGGAAAGCAGCAGGGTACCAAGATGTCCCCCGGGCTGTGCTGGCACAGCAGCCCTGGCCACCTCCAGCCCTCATCCCACACCACAGGGCTCCATGGTCCCCGGGGTCCCATAGTCCCCAACCCAGCCAATGCTGCCATCTTCAGGGCATGACTGCAAACAGAGTCTGGCTGTCCAGGGAATAGACAATGGCCTGGGACATGCAGCCAAGCGAGGGGACAGTCCCCCATACAGCATCCCAGCTCCCTGTGCTGTCACCCCTGGGTGACCCCAAGCAGCAGGCACAAGTCTCATCTAGGTGGTCCCAGCACCAGGACATCGTGGACTGGGGCTCTCTCATAACCATACACAAAAGACTTTTGAGTCTGAGGGATACTCCAGCCTAGACCCCAGAACAGCTATCCTTAGCCCAAAATCCCCCTCCTGCTCCAGGCAGAGGCTGAGCCACCTCCCAGCACCCTCCACCAGAGGGAATGGCAACACGATTGTTGAGAACCCAGCTCATGTTCCCCCCATCCTCCCATCCCTCCCATCCACCAGCTTGCCTTCAGAGGGAACAGGGTTCCTCGAGCACCCTGGCCGTGCACAGCACTTACTGTTGTCTCATCATGGGGATATTGACACAGTTGGCAGCAGCCACGGCTGCAAAGGGGACCCAGCGGGCCAGCAGGGGGGGGGCTCGCTGTGGGGACAGGTTTGTGTCAGCTCAGGGGGGCAGGATGCAGCCAGCAGCCCCACCTGGCCCCATCCCAGCATACCTTGGTGTAAAGGTTGAGTCCCACCGCAGTGGCCAGGGCTGCACTGGTGGCTGAGATGTAAGCTACCCCCATCTGACTGCAGAGCAAATTTGGAAAGAAGGGAGAGAAAAGAAACACTAACTGATAAATCCTGTTCCTTCAGTGCCCAACATGAAGCACAGGGAAACTTTAAGGGGCATCACAGGGAGACCTGGCACAGAGGGTCCCTATCCCAAGCTGGGGCACACTCACCTGAGAGAGATGGGGGAGGCAGCATTGCGGTTGGTGTAGTTGACAATGGCATTGAAGGACTGGTTCATCCACTGCCAGAAAACCACTGCAGGCACTGTCCTGTGGAGGGAAGGGACAGGAGAGCACCCAAGGGCTATCAGGGATGCCCAGCCTGTGCCTGTAGCCAGGTTTGTCAGGGGGACAGCCCTCAATACCCTTTTCCTGGTGTCTCCCAAGGGAAACCGAGGCACTGTGGCACAACCATGGGCAAGTGGCAGAACTGGGAAATGACCCCAAGCGTCCTGGCTGCTGCAGGGCTTTGGGGAGCACAAGAGGGGCCACAGCCATGCTGGGCACTCAGCCATGGGTGGCAGACCCAGCCCTCAGCAGGGCAGAAGCCATTCTGCTAGGCTGAGATAAGCCTTTGGCAATGGGAGTGGCAAGGAGGAGGCATACAGGGACAGAGGTGGCTTTGGGGATGACCAGGATGCATAAGTCCCTACTGGTATCTCAGGGACACCGAGGTGGGAGAGGAGGGGAAATGAGGAAATGTGGGTCTGAGCAAGCTTTGGGATACAGGCAGGTGGAGATGGGCTGGGAAGAGGGTGACCCATCATCACTGGGAAATGCTCCAACCAGGCTGGACCTCACTTTGCAAATCAATCCAGTGAACAGGGATAGGGATCTGCTGGAAAAGACAGTGTCTGTCCCACATGTTCTGCGCTAGGGACAGGACTACTCATCCTCCCAGCAGCTATTTCAGAAGGAAACTCCAGGGAGCTGCTGGTGTGGGCTGGGGATGCTGGAGCAGCATCCTCTGCTGGGGACATACTTAGTTCTCAGTTTTGGGGGCCACTATGGTGTACAGAGCAAGAGCAGTAGCTGTGCAGGGCCTGGCCACATTAATCATTACAGCAGCTCTGGGAAGAGCTTAGCTCAGGGCAAAGCAAAACCATCCCCAGCAATGCCAGGGGCTGGGCACTGGGGACAGGGCACAGGGGCACAGGGCTTGGTCATGGGACAAAGGTAGGCACAGCAACCTCAGGCATGCCTCCAGCAGCAGGAGGAGGCAGACTGGCTGTGCCCTGGCCCTTGGGAACCACTGGAGAAGCTAGGGGCTGTCGGGGTGGCATCCCTAAGCTGGCACCCCCAGGGTCTCACCGGTAGAACTGGAGCATGCAGCCGGTGAGGGCCATGCCCCCTGGAACCTGGAAGGACATCCTCCCAATGAGGTTCATCTTCTCGCCACTGTCTGGGTGGAAGGCCGAGTCGTACAGCTTCTTGGCATAGAGCAGCTGCTCCCGGCTGCTTCCTGGGGGCACCAGCCCGGCCCTGCAAGCCCAGAGCCCGTTACGGGGGTGCCAAGCACCCCTGCCGGCACCTGGCACTGCCAGGGCACAGAGCCCCGGGCACCAGACATGAAAGGCAGCGGAAACATCTCCCACGAGGGAAACTTGTCCCAGCTTGAGGCTCCTGGGAGAAGCCTGGGAAACTCCCCCAAAACCACCTCCAGCTCCAGATTTTGTGCCCCAGCACGCCCACCGGGGAACACCCGCCTCCATCCCCTGCACCCCCACGGGGCAGCACCAAGGCACAGGAACGGCCCCAGCCCCTCACCTGCAGCCTCCCAGCAGGGCCTTGGCCCGGTCCAGCTCCTCCTCCGGCACCAGCGCCGTGCGGGGGTCGGTGATGTTAAAGAAATGCTTGAGGCGCCCCGCGAAGGTGCTCTGGTCCCAGCGCGGG